CATTCATTTCATGATACATTTTTGGATTCATTTCTTAGGGTGTGAAGTAGGTTTTTAGGAGAAACGCTACAGAAAACAAGGGCTTAACTTTGACCATTAACTGAAAACCTCCACTACATTACATCTAACGAAACTTTTTAGGAGAATATGCCTAGCAATACTAAGGTGCTTTAAATTTCCTTTACACATAATATGGGAGGAAGGCTGATGTTTTGTGATATCCCACAGAAGACTAATTCTGACTGCAGGGAAGTGCATGGTTCAAGAACTGAAATCAATCACTCAAGTTAGTCTGGGTCTTAAAGGAGGAGGACTCTCGAGAGGCTCAAATGGAGGGTGAAATGGGGAACGGGGTTGTTGCTGGTGAGAATGATGGAGTAAGGTCGAAAAACTTGGTTCTGCATTCTTCAGCATGCGGCAGGTTACTTTAGGGCAAACATAAAGGAACCCTTATGTTTACAGTGCCCTTTGTAAGACTCCCAGTTGTGATTTAATGTTGTTAAATGGTGGTCTGTTTTAATTAAGCTGCTAACAGCTCTTCTTGAGACAAGGTCTTGCTCTGTTGTCCAGGCTGGAGTGCAGTGGCATGATCTCGGCTCACTGCAATCTCCGCTTCCCGGAGTCAAGCGATTCTCCCGCCTCAGCCTCCCGAGTAGCTGGAACTACAGGCGCGCGCCACCATGCCCGGCTACTTTTTGTACTGTTGGTAGGGACGGGGTTTCACCATATTACTCAGGCTGGTCTCGAACTCTGGACCTCAGGTGATCTGCCCGCCTCGGCCTCCCAAAGTGCTGAGATTACAGGCGTGAGCCACCGCTAATCCTTCCGTGCCTCTCTCCATCTGTGAGATGGGCACTTTATTAAAGGTTCAAAGTGACCAGTAGCTCTTGTTACTTTCTCTATTCCTCGATATTACTATTTTCCTTTCTAACTTAACACCTACCTGGAATGGTGAGATCACGAGGTAAGGAAGGCAAAGATGAGTGACAACCACTCACGTAACAGAAGCAGTCTCTTGCACTCAAGGAGTTTACAGCTCTCTGTTCTGGCTACCTCTTAGGAAAGGCCTTCCCACTGACAGTCTACAGACTGAAATCTAACCTTTTTACAGCGGGCCTGGCGAACTGTAGGGGCCAGGCCACATTCACTCGCTTTGAAAAAGGCTGCAGTGTAGCTAAAGGAGGCCCGGCTGGCCAGCTTCCTAAGCACAGCTCGGTGGGAACAAACAGCTATGTACATACAGAAGAAAAGAGGTTAATTCGGCCGGTGATGGGGGTCAGAAGCCCTAGTCCTCGTCCAATATTACGTCACTGGGTGACCTCGGGGGACGCTTCGCGGAGGGCCTCATTTTTCTCCACTGGCGAATGCAATTAAGGGTCTTCGGAAACTGTGGGAGCCCTTGGGCGCACCTATGCACCTCACCTCCAGGCTTCTCACCCGCTGGCCGCCCCCTTGCGCCCCTAGTTTTTTCTAGCTCCTTTCCCATTCCGCACCGTTTCTCTCCTCGAAAACTAAGACCTCGAGGTGTTCCTCGGCCAGAAACGGCGGGCGGTCCAAGCCCAGCCTCCCCTCTTCACCCACCTGCCAAAGCCAAAAATTCCGCAGCTGGTGTCCTTCAACAAAAGTAATCACCTCTCTTCCCGGCCGGAAGAAGCCGCCTCCCCCGCACGCGTTTAGCCGGCCACCGCGATTCGGCCTTCTGCGATGATTGGCTACGGCTCCAAGTCCCGCCCTTCCGATTCCTTTCTCTAGGTCACCTCCGCAACATGGCAACGGAAGTAGGGTGTTGAGCCCGCCCACACTTCCGGAAAATTGCTCTGGAGCATAGGTATCCTGGTCTCCACGTGTGTGAGTACCGCGGTTCGAGCTCAGTGCTAGCGGGGTGCTGACGCCGCGGGGCGGGTGAGTAAAGGGAGAGGCGAAAAAGGAGGAAACCTCATGGCTGTCAGGTCTCTCCCAGGCCTGGGTCCCTGCCAGGTACCGGCTAGATGAGTGTGGTTCGGCCACCTTAGCCCCGCTTCGAAGCCGGCTCTGTGCTAGCAGCCCCTGTAACTCCAGGCTTTGTGTTCCGAAAGTAGCCTAAGTATCTTAGGTGCCCCTGGATCTCCTTACTTTTTGGAGCCTCAGTTTCCCTTTGTTTGAAAGGAAATTAAGGGTGAAATTCCCAGCAAACCAAACCCCCTGAACTTTCCTGTTTCTTTGATACCCATCCCTGATTCCATATCCTTGACCCCACCCGGTCATCACTTCTCTAGTCTTAAGCCCTTCTAGATTCTTATTGCCAAGTGTCTGTCAAAACTAACCTCTCCTGTCTTCTGTTTTCACACCCAGTTCTGGTTCTCCTGGTTTCTCTACTGTCCTGCACTTGAATCCTTTCTTTTTCTTTTTCTTTTTTTTTTTAAATCACTGAGATAACAGGAAACAATGCATTTGAATCCTTCTACCAAATTTACTTGCCTTCAGTACTGTCCCTCTTCATGTCCAATCTATAGTCTGCAGTATATTTTTCTTGCTTATTGTTCTGTCGCTTTCCCTGCTTAAGTCTCTGACTTGCCAAAGTAAACTACCCATATCTAATTCAAGGTCTTCCACAAAAAAGCCCAACTTCTCCTTTAATGTTTTGAGACGGAGTCTTGCCTTGTCCCCCAGGTTGGAGTGCAGTGGCATGAGCTGAGCTCAATGCAACCTCCGCCTCCCAGCCTCAAGCAATTCTCCCGCTTCAGCCTCCCGAGTAGCTGGGCTAATTTTTGCATTTTTGGTAGAGACGGGGTTTCGCCGAGTTGACTATGCTGGTCTCAAACTCCTGACATCAGATGATCTGCCCGCCTCAGGCTCCTGAAGTGCTGGCATTACAGGTGTGAGCCATGGTGCCCAGCCTCCTTTAAAATTTAACTGCAGTTTTTATGCTTTAATCTCCCAGTGGTCTAGCTGAATAATTCTTCAGAGACAACAGCAAGCCTTTGAACAGTTGTTTGATAAGGAAATTGCTGGTGTTTATTGAAATAATAGGCTTTTCCCATCCATGTCTTTTCTCACATTCCCTTCTACCTGTCAAACTTCTGTTCATCTTTTACCCTTCAGCAAAAAGGATCTT